CGCTTTCACTGATTCCATCTGAACAGGGCCATAGACAGCATCTGGTGTCACTCAGAAGGGACCGTACACTATACAAGGAGCCAGGGTTTCCAGCCTTGGAGCGGGAGCGTCGCTCCTTCGCTGTTTCAGCCAGCTCGTCGTCTGTTTCAGCAAGCGCGTCGTCTGTTTCAGCTCGTCGTCTGCTTTAGCTCGTCGTCTGTTTCAGCTCGTCGTCTGTTTCAGCTAGCTCGTTGTCTGTTTCAGCTCGTCGTCTGTTTCAGCAAGCTCGTCGTCTGTTTCAGCAAGCTCGTCGTCTGTTTCAGCAAGCTCGTCGTCTGTTTAAGCTCGTCGTCTGTTTAAGCTCGTAGTCTGTTTAAGCTTGTCGTCTGTTTTACGTTTTGTTCCTATGGTCTTTCGTATAACAAGGCTCCTGGCTCACGCTGGCCTGAGAAACAAGGGCCGTCTGGCTGTCACAAATTTGATGACACCCACGCTAGGCCGAGGCAGGACACAGTTGATGTCATAAGCCAGGCCACTGTATTAAAAGTTTAGAACAGTCGCTTTGTAGACAAAAATCCGGAGATAGTGGGTATTGTAAACCCTGTTAGCTGAGCTGGTAAGCCTGGTTTACGTGAGTGTTACATTATAAAATGATTTATAACCCGAATAGGCTCTTCGAAACTCAGCAATTTGATCCCTCAAAATAACTGAAAAGCAAAAATGTTTCGTTGTCTCGTTGATTATGCAAATAAGATCCTTATTTGCATGAATTTTATCAGTTGTTCATATCGTTGTATTTTAAACAAAGAAAGCTATTCTAGCATTTCCTCTTAAATGACCAAAAAAGTTACACCAAAAAACTAAACTTGATAGGCCAGAGTTTGATAAACAACAAAAAGGCAACCAAACACTTTTTTAAGGTCAGTTGCACATACAGGTACAAACATACCTGTACTACCCAACTGTCTACTGTGACCATTTCATGCAAGTCCTATGCTTGTAGACTGTACTTAGTTCATAAAAGAAGTTTTCCTCAGGAATTGTGAAATTATTCAACACATGAGAAAGATTATTATCTGTACCCTGTAGTCATTATTATCATTCTGTTGTATCTGGTGTAAACATGTTCTGCATGCTCATGTTTGAATGTTCTACTAAATTCTATCTTCTATCATCCAACAGATCAAAGAAAAGACGCCATGATGAGAACACACCTGACGATGTCTCCAGCAAACTTGCCCGAACAGCATCCTGGAGTCCCAGGTTAGTCTGCAATCCTGATAGACTACATGTACATGTACATGTTAGCCGCATATAGTAGAGGGGATTCATTCCTCAAGCTACCGACATCTTGCACACACAGTCTTCCCTCAGTAAGACATCTGGAGCTGCATAGTTCCCGTTTAGAACTTTTATTCAGCCTGTCACACGACCGGTTTCGCCTGTGTGGCTTCTTCGAGTGTACAGGGGCTAATGACACTCTACTATATAATGTACATGTTAGCCGCGTAAGACCTTCATACTTAAGAAATCTAATTGCAGTCAAACCTGCCCAGGCGACCCCCTCTTCAGCCTGACCATCTGGCCATCACGACCACTTTTTCTCGGTCCCGACAAATTTTCCCCATTGACGCAAGCATTAAGCACCCCCCAGCAGGGCCACGTGCTGTGATCATTCTCGAGTTTACGCCCATTTATTACTCAAATAATTTACTGTGCGGGATTATTATAGCTGAGCAGATTTTGGAACAATTAAAGTTATTGTACCACAGTTTGTATGGTGTCGGTGTACTGCACTGTACACCGTAGATAGAAATCCACTGAACCATGAATACACTCACAAGTGCCTTAATTTTAGCCGGCATCTGTTTGGTTGCCTTTCAAAGTGCTCAAAAATGTTGATACCGCCATGCACACTCAGAAAATTGCAACGAGATTGAATCTCGAATATTTAAACATTGCTTCATTTGCCATAAAATGTGATGTTTAGGCCCCGGAAATCTAAATCTACCTGCAGTATTTAACATTGTAACTGTATTTAACACTGAAACACCTCGAATCGGAGACCATTAACTCTTAGTCATGTTGTGAGTCTGGAGAATCCACCCTCTTCAAGCAGGCCACCTGTCCAACCCGACCAGATTTCTCCAGTTCCCCAGGTGGCTGGCTTGAACTGGTTTGTCTGTAGTAATATGAGGTGTATCCTGGCTATTATTTTCCAGTGGTGATATCTCTGTGTCCGGCCCACTGCGCCGTTCTGCACGGTACAGCAACACGTCATCAGAGCTGACCGGCAGCCTGTCCTCCGGCAGCAGTATGTCGTCTGTTTCTGCCATCCTGCAGTCTCCCTGTAACCCCTTCACCCGCAGCACCCGCAGGAGGAGTCATGCAGCTGCCAAACAAGACACCTGATGAACTACAGAATCATTCTTACTGTCTGACTAGTCCAATATCTATAAGGGTGAATCAGGTTTTAGTATTATGTTAACTATATTAAACTTCCCTGTATGCATGAGTTTACAGAAATATTTAAGAGTTGACAGTCTTAGAGTTGTAAGTGAAATAAAATTGTGTGTATTTTTCAAATATTAAAATTTTCAATGTAGTACTTTTTCTGGATTCAAGGCCTATTGTAGGCCCCTATCAACATGTAAATCACTAGTACTTAATGTTTTCGTAATTTCTTAACAGAATACGTTGAATCTAAATCACGTATCACGTTGCCTTAGCGCTACAAATGCAGCAGCTTTGTGCCATAAAAATGAGTAAAAATTTGTTTACAATTGCTTTATTTACTACCCCACTGGTGGAGAGCAGAATAGAGCCTTTGTATTTTAATTTAACGTGGCAATGTGTTTTTCATTTTGCAACTTTAAGTTGATAAAGAAAATTAGTGTCCTTTTCTTTTCTTATACGACCCCTTGCAAAAGTGGTGTTCAGTGCCACATACACGTACATGTAGGTGCAGCATTGATGTTTTGGGCATTAATGCCACTTTAGTCCAGATCCCTGGGCAATTGGGCATTCTGGCCTGTTGTTTTCTGGTACCTGAATAGTTTGGTGTGCATGAACAATGTACAGCTTTTAGACGATGTGATGCAAGAAACTTTTTTATTCTCTTTACAAGTTTTTTCTTATAAACACAAATCACAAGGTTATGTGATAGACCTATGAAAATCATACTTTGTAAAGGAGAAGAGATTTGTGTCTTCAACAAGAATAATCAAACATCTTATAAACGTCCAAGTACATTTGTAACAAAAGAGTACTGTTCCAGTTCAACTAAAAGTACGGCAGGCAATTCTGCACCAGTGGGGCAATGTCATCTCAACCCAGCATTAAAACTTTGAGTATTGATGCAGCACTGAGCACCACTTTCACAAGGGTTAACAATTATCCAAGATGCAGGACTGGTGGATTATTATTACTGTCTCCAAGGAAATAAATGTTTTCACTCATGTGTGAACAGCATATCTTGTGAGGTTGTTGTTGGATGTTTTTGTTTATTAGGAATCTCCAGTAGGCCACACCAATTTAATTTCTTGGTTAACGGATTTTTCTAGAAAAATAATGGAGCGGGCGGGCGAAAAAAATAAATAAATAAAAACAGGCCTAGGCATCGTATTATGGCCCAAAATGGTACGATAGGAGCCATGAAGTCAACACACCAGGCTGGTTCAAAATTTAAACAATGAATTTTGAACTTTTAATGATACCATTGCATTGAAAGATGGAATAACTGTAACAACTAGGATGAAAAGGACTGTTTTCAACTGTTCAGGGCAAAATATGAGCATTTTGCAGTTGATTCTGAATTTTTATTTTTATTTGCAAATCAGAAAAAAATGAAGCGGGCGAATCCGTTAACCAAGAAATTAAATTGGTGTGGCCTTAGTAATACAAAGTTTGTTTACTAGTATTCCTGGAGTCCTTTACATATATATAATTGTAAAAGATGAAATATAGTCAATTACAAACTTAATAGCTATAATTATATGCAACAACAAACAGCTTAAACAGCGAACAGCAGTTTAACAATTATAACAATCTTAACAACAATCTACACGTAGGCCTACTTACTTATATGCACAACAATTAAAGCTAGCTTATTATAAATAACTTAATGCAATACAATGGAGAGGTCAGATGTCCCCATTTACACCATGTATTACCACCATGTGTCGAGACCAATGACTTCACACCTCACCAGTTGTACTTGTTACTCCATAATTTGATATTTTCTTTAGATGTGCGTTTGCTTCCAGATGTCATATCAGATGGTAGATTGTTTTTATGCTTCTATATACAAATGTTGTTAGTGGTTTTTAGCTTTAGTTCTGGGTTTGTCTAGGGTAAACGCCCCTCTTGTGCAAGCCTTGTATGGTGTCTGTACGTGATTTCTATTTTCTATAAGAGTACTGGTGAAAAGTCTCTGGTTGACTGTTTGCCAGTTTAACTGGGAGTGTAGGTCGTTAAGTCTGGCATCAAAAGTGGCGTTTGTGGCTAATCGAGCTGGATCACTTGTAGTTTATCTAAGTGTGTTTGTGGTGCAGATGAAAGTAGTGGTGAACAATAATCAAGATGTGACAGCATAAGGCTTTGGATTACTGTTCTTAAGATGTTTTGGGTGAAGTATTTTCTATAACTTCTTATTGTTGCAATAATTCCAGCCATTTTTAACTTTGCTTCACCAATATGCAAGGACCAAGTCAGCTGTTGATCAATAGTAAAGCCTAGAAGTTCAGCGTGTTCAACTTGCGTGATGCTTGTCCTTCAATGCTCAGTTGCATTTGGGACTCTGCTATAGTTTTTGGTGTGTGCCAATTAATATTGCTTTGTTTTCCCTATGTTAAGATATTAGTACATGTTGATTTGTTTGCACTCAATTCCAAATTCGCTTCAAGTTCGACTGCAGCTCGTTTTGCAACTGTGCCACGGTAGGGGCCGATGCTGACAGAGTGGAGTCATCTGCGTACATGACTACCGTGCTATGCTCTGTTATTGTGGGTAAGTCGTTTGCAAATATGGAAAATAATAGTGGACCAAGGCAGCTGCCCTGGGGCACGCCGCACTTGGTTTCCCTGTAAGATGAAAAACTACCATTCACAATTACGGATTGTTTCCGAGGTAGCTACGTATCCATTTAATAGCTGATTGTTCGAAACTGTAGCTTTGTAGTTTAGCCAAACAGATGTCATGGTTTATGACATCAAATGCCGCGCTAAAATCTAGCATAAGGACACCCACCAATTTCCCCTTGTCTATCTCTCCAATCCAGTAGTCCCACATTTGTATGAGCGCGCTAGCTGTGGAGAGATTTTTTTATGGGCATGTTGGTTTTCAGAGATGATGTTGTTGGAGATCGGGTAAGTTTGTATTTGTTTTTGGCACACCCTCTCCATTACCTTGCTAATTGTCGGTAACAGGCTGATTGGGCGACTGTTTGGTCCGTTTAGCAGAGCGGATTTTTACTTTATTAGATACCTTGGCTATCTTCCATTGTGAAGAAAAGATGCCTTGCCTGATGGAACTGTTAGAGATGTAACATAGTGGACTAGCAAGGTAAAGTCTCAACAATGTGTTCTCTATGTTATCATGGCCAGTATTACCTGGAGGCAATGCTTTCAACAATGTATGTACCTGCTCGACTGTTATGTCATACAATTAGAATTTGAAGGAACAGTCCTTAAGGGCCATGATGTTTTCTACAGTAGGTGTTATTGACTTTTCTATGTCAGGATGTTGATCGTTTGTGAAAGTTTCAATGAAAGAGTCATTGAAATACTCCCGGGCGCTATTTCAGATGGTTTCGTCAATATTTGTCCGTCCACTACAATGAAGTTTGGTGTTACCGTGTACATGAAGTGCTTTTGCCTAACATTCCGTTCACAATATTTGACATCAGGTTATTAAGTATCATAAAGGATGGTCTGGTCTTAAAGTGCTCATGACACAAAAATAGGACCTTATCTTATTGCAGCTGACATAACGTAAATTTTGTATCTATGTGCTATCAGGACCAATGACCTCTCCCCTTGAACGCTTGAAAAGCGGCCGAAGTGTAATTTCAAGGTAAAAAAAAATACTAGTATTACCTGGCTAGCAGACAAGTTTACAAATGATATTAACCCTTCCGGTTGACGAATTATACAATTTTAATTAAGAGTCATTGCATGAGAAAACCAGGCAGTGGCCGGAAGATGGGGGTCGGCCAAATCCGCTCATATTTTGTACATAGGATAGGTATGGGGAACTATCACCAGCCATATGATTAAAACCCTCCAGCTCTTTTTGTTATGGAGTTCTGGAACCCCCCATGGAGACCCTTAATAATTGGAGAATTTTTGCCTGGAAATTCACGAAATTCGGATCGCTCTCTCCAGAGTTCTATTATAGATGCTGATATATGATTTTGATTTTTACATTTCTTCATCTATCTAGTCTAACCAGACGAAATTTGAAGCTCTGGCATTGAAATTTAAAGGGTATGCTTGGGGGTTATCAGGACCATTGAAAGCAGACTTGGAACTTTTTTGAATATTAGTCATTTTTAAAGGGCCATTTGTCACACTATCTGCATTTGTTTGGATTGGTTTTGATTTTTCTGAATAGAGGAACA